CTCAATGTGTAGGTCTCTGAGACCACTCAAGCTGAATTGATGGATTATTTCTCCCAAGTGTTCAGTCTTCTTGGCCTCTCTGTACAGAATTCCTTCCTCCTGTCTATGAGGCAGAACTCTTTCTGAAATGAAGGTCTTATGACTTACTCTCAGACAAGGTAGACCAGAGAAATTTTCTGTGACTAGCTTTAAGACAGAATGATCAGGAGTGGGTGTATTCCAAAAAAATATTTGTAGGCTTCAGAATTGTTGGCTTTAGGAGAGAGAGATTCTAGTTTCTATGACCTACTCTGGACAAGAGGAATGCCAGTTTCTAACACTTGCCATGAGGGAAGACTGAGGAAAGAGGCAGGAAGACAGTGACAGGAGGCCAGAAAGTGCAAGAAAAACTTTGCTTCTCAGACTTTCACTTTGGGCTAGCATTTTCTGAGCCTCAGTACCCATCAAAATCATCCCTGGCTGGAGGTACTAAACAACAGGCAGTCAGTCTGCTTCAGTTTGGGAGTCCCCTGAAATGCATTCTACTCTGTAGGCATGTGGGCTGACAGGGAGAAGTTGTAGATGTTTGCATGTTAAAATGTCCAGTTTTGCAGCAGTGGTACTCACTAGACGCTATGTTGAAAGTGCACTATGCAACTTGTGGGTGGGGGTGGGAAGGAAAAACCAAAAGAGAGAGGGAGAGAGACAGAGACAGAGAGGGAGAGGGAGAGGGAGAGCAAAGAGGTGATACTGTCCAAAAAGAAATGCACTCTTTATTAACTGTAGCCACTCTGTCTATCACCTTTATAATAATAAAAGTTTTTAATGTCATTTGTTTTTTCATGGCTTTTATCTTGATTGCTTTAACGAGCTATCCCTGCATCATACCAGTCTTTAGAAAGATTTACATCAATTTTGCTTAGCTTTATCCATACTTACCAGTTGAATTTGTGCAATTCTTAAATTCTATCTAGAGTTATAGTTTGGTTTCTCTTCTAGGAAAGAACTTATAGAGCCATTTTCAAGTTAAATAATTACTGGGAAATTGTTTAAATTCTCAAGGTCAGTCAATTTTTGTTTCTATGAATTCAAGTCTTCGGGATCTAAATGTTCTGATCTGGAGAAAGGAAGATGGAAGATTACAAAGTATTGAGGAGAGGAGAGATAGATGGTAATTATGTTAGATCCCAGGTATCACACATGATGACTGATAGACTTGATTTCTTTGACCTTTAGTGTCCTGTAAGATAAATAGACAAAATTATAGATATACTGAGAATGAGAATAATGTAAAGCACTCTTTTAGGGTCTCTCAAAATGGGATGCCTCTGTTTTCTGGCCTACATTTATTTTACTTTATCTCTTTAGATCATGGCACATAGGAAATTGCAGAACATCAAGATCAAAGCTAGTAAAATGTATTTTTACATTTATTTTATCTACCTTTACACGCAGATATGTCCATTCTGTTCTTGCCCTCCTCTAAGTGTGAGATACTGCCATTGTCTGTATATAAACCATGGGATTTAGCTTGCTTGATCTCTGAGGATTGACAGTAGAAGGAGTAGACCTCACAGCCATGTGTAGGAGGTATAAACCAACTCCAATAAAAAGCTGGGTGCTGGTGGCTTATGCCTATAATCCTTGCTACTCTGGAGATCTGAGGATTGTGGTTCAAAGCCAGCCCTGGCAGGGAAGTCCATGAGACTCTTATCTCCAATTAATCACCCCTAAACTGGAGTAGAGCTATGGCTCAAAGTGGTAGAGTGGTAGCCTTGAGCAAAAAGGTTCAAGGACAGTACCCAGGCCCTGAGTTCAAGCCCCAGGAACAAAACAAAAAAACAAAAACTCTAATAAATATATATTCATTGTCTAATCTCCAGAACCTGTAAATAACACTTTCTAGGGTAAAATATGTGTTTAAATTAAGGATCTTGAGAGTTGATCCTAAATCATAAATAGGCCATAAACACAAGCAGATGCATCTATATCCTAGGTGCAGAGGGAGATCAGACAGGTACATCCAAAGAAGGCAATGTGAAGATACAGAGATTAGAGTGATTCTGCCACAAAACAAGGAATATAGCCACCAGTATTTAGAGGAGGCAAGGAACTGATTCTCCTTTAAGCCTTTGGAGAGTACGGTCCTGCCAACACTGTAACTCCCGGTTTTGGGCCTTAAAATTGTGAGACCATGAAAGTTGCTGATTCAGGCCACTTAGGTAGTGACAATTGGTTACAGCAGCTATAGGAGCTGTGGCTGTTCCTCATTTCCTGTTGGAAAGTAATACAGTAAACCTTTGGCAACACTAGACCACTGCTAGGGAGGGCAAGTGTTGAGATCATTTTTACTGTTTCAAAGCAGAAATGTGCTTTGAAATGTGTGTGTGTGTGTGTGTGTGTGTGTGTGTGTGTGTGTGTGTGTGTGTGGAAAAGAGAGTTCTCTTCAACCACACTGTCAAACTAAGGGACATGGTTAATCCCATTTTCTAAAAGAAAATAGAAAGAAATGAGAGAGAAGGGAAAATGAGGATGGAAGCAGAGTGGTAAAGACAGGGTGATGCTGGTTTTGAAGACAGGGGAAGGCCCCATGAACCAAGGAACACTGGCAGCTTCTTATTTTTTTTTTCTTTTTTCTTTTTTCTTGTTATTGTAAAGATGATGTACAGAGGAGTTGCAGTTACATAAGTTAAGTAATGAGTACACCTGTTTTTGGACAATGTCACCCTTCCCTTGCTTTCTCCAAACAGCTTCTTAAAGCTAAAAAAAGCAAGGAAGAAACTTCTCCCAAGATTCAAGATTCCACTGAGTCGTAGGCCTTCTGGCACCTTAATTTGAGCTCAGTGAGACACGTGTGTGTGTGTGTGTGTGTGTGTGTGTGTGTGTGTGTGTGTGTGTATTGTTTTAAGTACCAGGTTTGTAGTGACATGTTATCGTGTCCTCCAGACCAGTGTCCGGAGGAAAGGAAGGGCTATTACAGGGGTATATGGGGAGGACTGAAACCCTGGCCTCGTGCTGCTGCTTCTTTCTGTGTCAATCACCAGAATAACAGGAAACATGTCCTTGAAAGTTATTGTGCTATGGATATGCACTTATGTTGTTGTTGGCTGTGAGGCTTGAACTCCAGGCCTAGGTGCTGCCCCTGATCTTTTCTGCTCAAGCCTGTGCTCTACTCCTTTGAGCCAGAAATCCACTTCCAGTTTTCTAACTTTCTTGCTGAGGCTGGATTCAAACTGGGATCCTTAGATTTCAGCCTCTTGAGTAGCTAAGATTATAGGCATAAGCCACCAGTGCCCAGCTTGGATCTGCTGGATATTTAAAAGAAGAGAAATTTCATTCTTTTTGGCAACAATGATGAATATAGCATTGTTACTTGAGAGCATGCACTATCTTAGGGAAGGAGAAACAGTCCCCCCAGAGATATTACACATGATACTCTGTAGAAAACTTGAAAAAAATACTTGAAAAGAGATCACTTCTATATTCAACTGTGGTAGTGTCTTAAAAGTGGAATGAAGAATAATAAACAAATATAAAAGCTCAAAAAAGGGGCTAGGAAGGTGGCTCAGTGGTAAAGCGCTTGCCTTGCATGCTTGAGGCCCTGGGTTCGATTCCTCAGCACCCATAAGTGAAAAAAAAAGCCAGAAGTGGCACTGTGGTTCAAGTGGTAGAGCGCTAGCCTTGAGCTGAAGAGCTGAGGGGCAGTGCCCAGGCTCAGAGTTCAGGCCCATGACTGGACCCAAAAATAAATAAATAAATAAAAATAAAAGCTCAAAAAAAAAAAAAAGAGATCACTTCTATTTGTTTTCTATTTTCTATTACTTCAATTTCTTCTAACCAATTTTTGTTATTAAGGTTATATACTATGAGCAATTTTCCATTCATTATTAATATTATGCCATAGACAATTCTCACAACACTATAAGTCTTCTGAAAATACTGCTTTTAAGGAGATAATGTGAAAAACTACATGGTGCCCATGTGCTCTGCCTTCTGAGGAACACACAGACACTGGTTGCACTCTAATCTCATCTGTTTCCCCTGGGAAGCAACACTAAGGGCAGTGTGAGAGGGCTTCAAGTTCCCATGATAATGTATTGTTTGAGAATATATCATAACACACATGCAGTAAACAATCAATACAAACAATATTACTATCTATTTAAGAATGGCTGCTGATACAGTGGAAGAGGTGTGTTCAGGGTACAGAGTGGTGAGGTGGTTGATCTGAAACTTTCTTCAAAGCCCTCATTCCTCCTGATCAAGGAGTAAAGAACAGGTTATCTAGTGAGCTGCTGTCAGTCTGTGCACACAGTCCTCATTTTGAACTTATTCTAGAGGATAACGAGTCAATAGATAGGATTAAGGAAAACCTCCTACCCTCTACCCCCCAGGGCAAACAGACAGTCACACACTGATGGTTGAAATGTGTCAACTTGACTGGGCTAAAGGATGCCTAGATTGCTGGAAAACATTGTTCAATGTCTATAAGGAAATTTCTGGGAAAGATTAGCACTGGGGTAGGTAGACTGAGTAAGGCAGATCTATTCTCTCCCAATGAGAGGCATCATACAAACTGTCAAGGGCCTGAATACAACAAAAAGATGGGGGGAGGGTGAATATATTCTCTTTATGAACTTGAATACCCATCACACTCCTGCTCAGAGCTCTATCCTTCAACACCTCCTGACCTCAAGGCCTGTAGGTTCTGATTTTCTTGGTTCTTTGGTTTGTATATGGCAAATTTGGGGACTTCTTGCCTTCATAATAACATGGGCTAACTTCTACAGGAAATCTCAATCCCTTCTCCTTTTTGTTTTCTGCCTCTTCCACCTTTTCCTCCTTTAGTTCATTTCCTTTTCTTCCTTCTCTCTCTTCCCCCCTTCTTTTTCTCTTCTCCTTCTTCCTCCTCCTTTCCTTTTCCACATCTTTTTGGTTCTACTTCTCTGAAACACTAAGGAATATGCAAAGAATACATCTAAGGAAACAGAGGGAAGGTCAAACAAAGGTAAGGTATCAGATAGAAATTAAATCCTTTCCAAAGTGGAGTCATCTCATATTTTATCTTCTAGAAGAGGCCAGAGCATCCCAGAATGAACCAATATAAGTAAATGTGAGGACACCTGATTCAGGTGCGGGAGGTGGACAGAGTCAGGTACTGGCACTGAATGGACCTGCCAAGGTACAAAATAGGGCATAAGCACAAGCAGAAATTACACAGGCAAGGGAGCAGATTGAGTGTCTCTAAGCTATTTCAGGGCTGGGAGAGGTCAAAGAGCTTTATGAAGCTCATATACAACCAGAAAAGGCCAAGCAAACATCTCCAAAAGTTAAGAGGACACTTTCATTATTTCCTCTATAGCTGAAGGTCAGAGCTTTGGAAAAGAAGGGATAGCAAGAAATGTAAATATGTAATTTACCTGTGTTTGCTAAAGTGAAGCCAGTGTGAGGACTTCTGTACCAAAATTGGTTTGTAAAAACTGGAGATATCTAGATTCCTGTCCATTTCCAAGCATACTGAATCAAAATCCCTGAGAATGGCTCACGAATCTGGCCTTTAAAAGCTCTTCACTTAATCTCACGCAGGCTAAAGACAAGGAACTACTGACAATGCTGGAGAAAGAACAGGTTTTGGTTCTTTACAGCAAAAGTCTATAATGTTAGCTGAATGCACTGGAGTCCAGATGCAATACATTTCACAAGGACTGAAAAGACTATTTGTCTGGAGATTGTCTTTAAATGGAAAAGGGCGGGGGGAGATGGAGAAGAGGGGAATATTATGGTTTGGATAGAAAACGTCCCCAAAGGTGCATGTGTTAAAGTCTTGGTCTCCACTGCTATAGTGCTCAGAGGTGACTGGATTGTAGGGGCATTCATCTCATCAATGAGTTAATCAATAGGTGAATGGACTACTGGTGAAAACTATAAGAGGTAGAATATAGCTAGAGGAAGTAAGCCACTGAAGGCATGCCCTCAAAGAGTATATCTTATTCCTAGTTCTTTTCTCTCTTCCTCTGCATCCAGGTGACCATAAAGTGAGCAGCTTTGCTGCTTAACATGTTCTGCCTCACTATGGCCCAGAAACAATGGAACCAAATGACTTTGGAGTGTAACCTCTGGAAATGGAGCCAAAATGAGCCTTTCTTCCTTCAGAGTGGTTTTCTCAGGTATTTTGTAACACCAATGGAAAGCTAACTAATGCAGGAGACAAAGTGAGGAAGATAACATTCAGCTAAAATTGGTCAAACCAGTAGGACAAAAAAGAGCAATTGCAGCAGTGTAAAAGGTTGACTCTGAAGTCACCCTACCTAGGTTCAAATTTTCTCTCTCTTAACCTACTAGTGTATGGCTTTGGGCAAGTTATCCTACTCTTCTGAGCTTCATTTTCCTTATCTGTTAAATGGGGACTATAAAGAATATGTGCTTCATGGGTTAAATAAGTGCTTTATATACAGTATAAAGCATAATCAGCATCTGGAAGTGTTAGCTATTATTATTGGTATATGAAGGTAGTAACAGGATTAAAACCCTATAAATAAAGCCACATATAATGTTTATAGTCTCTGGCACCTATAAAAATGTTGGCTGTCCTGAAAATTTTAACAATAAGACTACTTGCATAAACCCAACAAAATAGCAAATGATACTCCTTGGTCAGTAAAGCATAACTACCAGAAGGAGGGAGAGTTCTGTAAATCAATCAAAACAATGGACTCATATAAAGGCTTTAGGTAAGGACCAAGGAAGAGAGGAAAATGGACAGTAGTATTAGTGGAAACTAATACATAGTTCAAGGACAAGTTGAGCTTTGTTATTTGGGGAAGCTACCCCAGCTCAGAGATGAATCTTATGGGCAATTATCTTATCTTATGGACAATTCCATCTCTTAGATGAACTGATAAAAGGGACTTGGTACAGAAGGGAAACTTGAGAGAATCATCTTTGGGATAAATACCACAATGTTTTATTATTATTTTTAAAATCTCCTTAAGAGAGTTACACAAATGCACAATGCCTATGTGCATCTAATCATTTAAAATAATATTTATTGAAATGAACTCCAGGAAAAGAAAACAAGAGGTTTTTTTCCTTGTTGCTGTTTTTGCTTTCTTTTTGTCTTATCTGTCTTTGAAAGGGGTCAAAGGGGCACAGAAATGGAGGAACAAAATGTGAACAAATGCGGCGGTGGTACTCACTAGACACTATGTTGAAAATGAGCATATACAACTTGCAGGTGGGTTTGAGAGATAAACTAGGAGTGAGGGAAGGAGTAACATTGTCCAAAAAAGAAATGTACTCTGACTCATCTAACTGTCACCTCTCTTTATAATAACAATAAAAAAATCTTTAAAAAATTAAAAAGAAATAAGATAGAAACTGCTATCTGCTAACTGAAAAAAAAAAAAGAACTGTAACTTCTGTGAGGCTCTGGTAGTTTGTTTTTATTTTTTATTTTTAAAATCATGCTTTATTAGTTTTGGCTCCTCAAACTCAAGGAAATTAATTCTTTGTCCCTGGCAAATTATCACTCTTCTCAAGAAAAGTATGACCAATCCAGAACAACAAAAAAAAGAGGTAGCAGTTTTCATGCCCAGAGTCTGTACTTCACAGCTGCTGCACAGCCTTGCCTAATCATCATCCAGATATTTGGTCTAAGTATCAGTCTTTTGACACACTTACCATTTGAAAATACTATCCCTTTCTAGGTGATTTCCTTCAAGCCCTCATTCCTATAATGTAGGCTCTGAGGTCAGACTTCCTCATGAAATGTTTTAGGATTATCAATTTGTCTAAGCATCCACAGTTTGTACCATCTAAAATAAATGAGTTGGGCAAGGGATCACCAACAACTGTATAATGTGTTTGTCATACTCATCATCTCTGTAGCTGGAGACATTTACTTAGTCTGGTAATCTCAATTTAATTTTTACACTATCCATTTCATGTCCCTGTGCCAGCATGGAGGCTAGGCAGATCTGAGCCCTTGGTTTTGTCTTTCTTGGATTTCCAGTATTCCATTGACCAGAAGATCAGACAAATGAGTTGTAAGGATTACTCTCATGAATCTGGGTAGCAGTGCCTCAGTTTTCTCCTGTTAAATAAGACCAGCTACCTGTATCTACCACAGTGATTTTTTTCCTTTCCTGTTGGTTAAGTGCCATAAGGAACTCTAAAAGGCATCTCACTCCCAATTCATTGGAATCATAATCTTATTTCCTTATTGTTTGTAATCTCTTGGCACTTGGGACTTCCAAAGACTGAGGAACTAAAACCCTCAAGTGAGTTAGTGGGTGTGATAGTGAGAACAAATACTCATGTCTATTTCTTAGTCCCCAAATCCAAGCACTGTAACCAAGGGGGAGATGGCTCCATATACTGGTCTTTGTTCAGAGCACTAAAGCATATGTAAGACAACACCTATATGTCCTGAAACACTGTTGCCTACTCATGCCTTTAGCAGTCATTCAATCTATCAAACCAACTGCTTCTTAAAGCATGTTATTTTTGAATATGTCTCCACTCGGCCCTCAGCTGATGTAACTCTTTTGGGGAGGTGTTGAAAACTAGGAGATAGGGCCTAGATGGAAGAAGAATGTTATCTGGGGAGAGGGCTTTCAATAACCATATTTTGTCCCTGTACCTTTCTTCTCTTTGCTTCCTGGTATGAGAGGAGCAATTTTGCTTCAGTATATGCTTCCTGCCATGATGTTCTGTTTTATCTCAGACTGACAGTAATGGAGCCAGCTGTACACTGACAACCTATGAAGTAAGTTCTCCCCCCCATTTTTTGTCCCTTGTTTGTCACAGAGATGAAGAAACTAACACAGAAAATTAGCAGACATGAGGTTATTGTTATTACTGATGATATAGTCAAAAAACTTTTGGAACTGGTTTTTGAAAGCAGATGGAAAATGATAGAGAAATGAAATGGGGAAAACAGAATGCTTTAGGCAGAGCTTAATAGGGGTGATTTTGGTGGAAGTACAAAAGATCAGAACACCAGTAATAGAGCATTAGCCTTGAGCTGAAGAGCTGAGGGACAGTGCCCAGGCCCAGAGTTCAGGCCCCACAACCAGACCACAAAAAAAAACCTTGGAATCAACAGAATACCAGTAATAATGTTCACAGGAAAGTCTATATTCACATGGTTTCAGATGGGAATCAGACTCTACTAAGAAATGGACTAATGTCCATTTTATATTGTTGCAAATAACTTGTCTTTGTATAAGCACTGTGGGAGAATAAGATTAAAGCTAATGAGTGAATCTGATAGAGAAAATGTCATGGCATCTCAGCATTCAGGCCATGGTGTGGTTATTGCTAGCAGCTTCTAGCCAGGTTTACAGTAAGATTCAGGAATAAAAAGACTTGAAAAGGCTTGGTGAGGAGAACCCATGCATACAGGGGGCTAAGGACAGCATGGCTGCCGAAGAAGCCAAGAATTTTACACTTGGACAGAAGGAAAGATGCCTTGAAGCCTTCTGGTCAGCCATTGCAGCTGTATGGGTATAAAAGCATAAACACATTTTTTTAAAACTCACATCTGAGAAGAGTCAGAATACTCTGCTCACGTAGGATAGGAAGCTGTCTCCCTAGGAGACATTTTACCATGCTCCCCTACCCAGGCAATCAGAGAAGCCACTGTAGGCATAGCCTGAGGGCACCCGACTACTGATGGTACTTTGTGTGGCCCACATGATGCTGTTTTACACACATATACACTAAGCAAAAACTTGTAGGATAATGGAGGTTTTCTATTCAGATTTCATGCGAATGTGACAGGGTCAGAGCCCGTACAGGAATTGTATGAGGCTGAAAGTGCCAAGCAGATTCCAAGAAATTGAAGATATTACGTGTTAGGAAAATGGAGGACTGAGAAAGGAAATAGGCCGGATTCCATCTTCCACAGATGAGGACTGTTCATCGAGATATAGCAGCAAGGGACACAGCCTTCTCACAGGCTTGGAGACTGTGTCAGAGTTGTGACAGGAGCTGGATTTTATGATGTCTCAGCAAGGAGGCAGAGGCTAATGAAAAAAGCCACTAGGTCAAGGGAGGTGGGGGCTTTTGGGTTGGGCCCACGATGGAATGTTTACAGCCAGGCTTAGATTGCCCTGCTGGAGATGGGCAGTCTGCACTTGTCTTTGGTGGGTTGTCTGGTATGTGTATGCACCTGGGAAAACATAGTGGGGGGTCAATCCTTCATATTCCATCTTTGGATACATAGAAAGAATGGGCCTAGAGGCAAGTTCTTCATATAGGGTCTTTGGATACATAAAAAGAATTGGGCTGACAAGGGTGCAACGTGTTGTTATAATGAGAACAAAGCAGATTCCTATCATTTGAAACCCCAAAGAAGTACAAAAATTGAGGGATGCCATGGTCTTTTCTGGCTACTTCCTATGGACATGAGGGCATCAAGAAGTCATTGGGGCTGAGGTCTTCAGGGTCTAGGTCTGTGCTGGGCATGGCATGGCAATGTAAGCAAAGCCCCCAGTTGCCTGCAGTAATAGGATGGCCTTGATAAGCTCCCAGGTGATGTTTTGAGTGAGGGCTGTTATCCTGCTAGAGAGAAATTTGGAAAAAAAAAAAAAAAACTTGTCAGGCAAAAGGCTGACAAAGTGGCAGGACTAGCTGATATGAATGACACATGAAAACACACCCTGGGCATAAGCCAGAAAAGTTCCATTTGGAGCATAATCCCAGTTGTGGCCTATTACAGGAAAGGAGGACTTTTCATATAACTGGACTATATAGTTGGGAAATAGAAATAACAAAGGCAATACTGTAAGTTCTTGTCCAGTTTGAAGGTAGACAGGTATGGATATTAGATAGACATGCTTATGAGCTATTTTCTCTTGATCTCCCAGCTCTGGTTAATTTTGAAAGTGACTCTATTCAGGATCTGACATCATCCCTCTTAGCTGAGCAGTTCTTCCCAACTGCCTGTGGTCACCAGGACTGTCCAGGTGGGTCTGGGAGGTCTCTTCTTGCTGAGATGATACTTGGCATTGCCCATTGCTGGGATGACTTGTTCCACTTGGCAGAATCCCACATCAGAGAGGGTGATACAATCTGTGCCCTTTTATTCCCAATTTAAGCAACAAGGAAATCAAATAGAAATAGCTTTTAAGCAGGCTTATCTGAAACTTACTACATAGGATCAAATCGGTAATAACAAAATCAGTAAACATGACAGTTTTAAACAGCAAGTGATTTAACAATTTAGTTAGTTTTTAACTGAGAAGAGCACTTTAGGATACTAATTACTTGGGAAATAGACATTAAACAGGAAAAAATGGCATTTGAGTTAAAAGGTGTTCATTTGAAGGATCTTAACATAAACAAACATCTAAGTGGACTTTGGTTTAGTTGCCACTTAGTTTATGTGGCAAACTTCATAATGCACAGTTACTTTTATAGAAGGAAATAAAAAATGAGATACTAGTTTTACCTCAGTATATTAATTATGACTTTCTTTAAATCATAGCCAACTTAATTATAGATCAATATTACCAACTTATAAGACATACTCATAGCATCTGCTACATACTTGAATCTTCTGGGGTTTTGTAACATTTAAGACAATTTTCCCAAATCCTTTCTTATCCAAAGGAATTCATTTTTTATTTCCTGAGTTTCCCTGTCTTTACCAACTTTCTTTTTAAAAAAGATATCTTTATACATCATAACAGTTTTTATGAGATTACGTTGAACATGTTCACATACACATTTGTACAGAAGTTTTTTTTGGGTCTGGTTGTGGGGCCTGAACTCTGGGCCTGGCGCTGTCCCTCAGCTCTTCACCTCAAGGTTGGCGCTCTACCACTTGAGCCACAGCACCACTTCCGGCTTTTTTTTTCTGCTTATGTGGTGCTAAGGAATCGAACCCAGGGCCTCCCAGCCACTGTACAGAAGTTTTAAGGTGTGCTTAGGTTTAAAAAATGAAAATTGGCCATAAGCTTTTTGGAATTCCAGTGGCAAAATAATATTTTGCCCAGTATGATAAAACCATGTGGTCAATTGGGAAAACAAAAACTCTAAAACACATACCATTGTCTATAGAGTTCTTTTATAGATTACCAAGATTTAGCTAGCCAGAAACCAAAAACATTCAAACATCTTTGCTATCAAGACATATTGACCTTTAAATAATTGACTTGCATGTTTTTTAAATACAATAAACCAGATTAA